TGGCCTTATTAATGCACTAGCCCCAACTTGCCTCACAGACGTGCTAAGACCCTCCTGCAACAGACATGGAACAGCTTATAATGTGAAGGAAACTTTAAGATCCCAAGCCAAAGTCAGGCTCATTTTGGGAACTTTCTAACAGGGATGTTCAAAAGTCTGGATTGGCCATAAAGAGTTGAAATAAGGTGGGCACACATTTTCGCTATGGCAATTTTCTGCCTACCACAGTCAGAGAGCATGAATGTCACCCAGGATGAATGACACTGTACCAGGAACAGCAACGGCACCACCCGTAAACACACCCGTACTCTACAGCATGGCAGATATTGCCAATCAATCATAACACTCTTCCCACTGAGTCTGGATGTGGCATGAGAGCCTTCTTCACAAAGTGCTTCAGGGAGTCCCTCTCCATTGATCAGAGCTGGTAAACATGGTAAACTCTCTGCCACACCTGCATTGAAAGCCCCGCAGAACATGAATAAAAATTAAGCGCTCTTCCTTATAGAATAAAATAAAAATGTAAAAGAAAAATAGTGTGCATTTATTTCCCACTGTTCCGGTGCATCCAAGTCTCATCATTATTATTTCTATAGCTCTTCATTCCTTGTTCATAAAGGGCACTTGCATAAATGTTTGCTGAATTTAATTTAATTCTTTTCGACTACCTTGGCCAAAGGATGTAGCATTTCCCTAACATGAATATTAAACTCAGCAGAGCCCACGAAGCACTGGAACCAAAACAGTTAATTAGCAAGTCACCAAGGCTGGCAGCAAGAAGCAGGAGGCACAGCTTAGGAAGCTGCCCATTTTTCTTGCAATAAAGAAAATAAAGACAGTAATTCTAAGAACATTTATTAACCCCCCAGTATGTGTAATTGCCATCAGACGTGGGTCTGTCAGTCTTGCATTAACATAAGCTACTGAGTCTTGGCTTTCAATGGCAGAGTAATGCCCGAGATGCTGGAGATAAGTGCTAACGCTGGAATTTTGAGAACCAAGCCCTGTGTCCAGCAAACGCTTTTAAAAGAATTTCACTCTCAATGGTTACTTGCCCAGAAGAAATTCATTTTATGTTAAAGAGAAAAAAAAAGAAGAAAGAAAGAAAGAAAGAAAGAAAGAAAGAAAGAAAGAAAGAAAGAAAGAAAACAAGGAGGCATTCAATTGAGCAAGCATTTTCTTAACTCATTTTAAGATAATCTCTTACATTCACCAACAATCTCTCTAGTGGGTGGAAACATGGAAAGAGACTTTGCATGGGTTGGCTGTATGCTTCATTCTGTATTGGCGCACAACGTAAAATAATGGAATGGCGATAAAACAAAAAAAAAAAAAAAGAAAGGCTTTATAATAGTCAGGACACGCCAACCAATTTTAAATTGAATTACACAGCCTGCTAATCTTTATGATGGGATAAAATTTCTTTCAACACTATGCATTATACTAAAATTTGCAGCACTTCCCCCACCCCACTTCCTGAGCTGCTACCCCCCCCCACTCCCCCTTCCATCTCCCCCATGAGAAAGCTTCTCTTCAACCCCAAAAGCATTGTTCCTGTTAACTGGGAAGGCAGGGCACGGCTCTGCGCAAGATTTCATTTTTATAGCTATTGTTACTTGGTGTGTGTCTGTATTTCACACTAGGGCATACACAAACAGTATTATGAACACTGGGCATATTTTCTTAATACTGTAAGCACACATTTTTTTACAAGACTGATTCAAACATATGTATATGGTAAAAGGGATTTTTAAAACCAACCATATTGAGGACTTTTGTTAAATTTTGCAAATGTCTATACAGTATGCTATGCACTGTGTGTTTGGGTGGAACTGCCACACTTCAGAAATTGTGAGCTGTCCAAGTCTAGAAGTGGTAGTAACCCTGCTGAAGTATAAGCCTATGTGTCTGGGATATGTCCTGGCTCATTTTGTGTGTTTCTCACTTCGTAGGTGACAGAACAGGGTACTAATGAGAAGGGAAAGAGCTTGCTCTGTAAACATAGACAACCCCAGACTTCAACCTCTGTAGCCCTGATGAAAATAACTGAGAAAGAAATAAGAAAAAAACTGCCATGACAAGTTTCTTGATCCTTCCTCCTCATGGGGAAGGATGCCTCCATATTTACCTTAGCAAAACCAAGTATAAACTATTTCTAAGAGCTGTAACTCTTCTTAAAATTTAAGCTTCTTCCTGATACCTTATAATATGGAATCTTACCCTGTGATGCATTTTGGCTTATTTAGAATAAAAATGAAAGGCACATTGACATACACTGTCTTGCAAACAACAAATTCATTTTATCACTAAACTGTATCTATGACTTTTTAAAAAATCATTTCCCGGGCAGGCAAAGAGAGCACATAAGAGTAAAAACTTAGATCTGAGAACTACTAAAAGAGTTTATGGCAAACTATGAGTTATAGAACAGCTACCAAGAACTGTGCAAGGTTTCTGTTTGGAATCTTTCTAGATATTCTAGGCACTCTTCTAACTGCCAGCCTCCAGGCTCTCTGAGACACTTAGTGACTGCTGCCCAACATGCACCCACTAAAAGCAGTCAGGGGCTGTCCCCAATAGACACCTGTGCACTTCTGCTCTGTGTACAGATGTCCCAGAGTGACGTGCATTTACAATTTATGCCAGCTGTACTTTTTGGTGTGAACCACCTAATGTGATTATATATTCCTGTAAAAATCATAAAAATCTAGAAGGATTCTATACTCAGTTTGTTTTACAGGCATCTTTACATTCTTACTGACCAATAAATAAACCAAAATGGAAATGCGATGAGTACAATACATTTTAGAGATGAGAAATCCCACCTGTGATTTATCCAAGAAAGCCAGTGATGATCTCTAGTCACTGTTTCTATATTCAAAGGAAAGGCTTTGGCGCTACCTCAGAAGGCTGGCCAAAGCATGCACATCTGTACGCTTCAAGTTAAAATAAAACTATTTAGCTCTATGGTTATCATTTGTATGATTTCCCACTTTAAGTGACTGATGACCTGAGCACTTTTCATCCCCTGTCACATTGGATAAGAAGGCTTTAACTGGACTAGGAGCTGCACATGCACATATTTTGGGAAGACAGAAGTCCTCCTAACCCTCACAAGACCTTTTCAAAGAACAAAATCTACAGAGGCAAAAGCTCTATCTGCACAGTAAAAGACATACATGTATTTCTGGTTTCCACCTATTTCCACAGTGCTAAACGTACAAGTTTAAAGATTCATTTTCTAATTCAAACATCAAGTCACTTTCAGGCTCTGTGGTTACATTGCTTTCTAAACCCAGGCTTTCTATGAAGAATGGATTCATCTAATGAAGAACACACAATGAAAATACTAAACTATCAGTTAGGTTTCCTAAGTGCACAACAACCTCATAAGTTACAGCTAACTAATCTAGCATTCTGACTAATAGCACTAGTACTATTATTACTATTACCACATCACTATCGCCACCATCACCACTTCTAAAACTATGATTATATGCTCTTGGTTTGTTAACAATTCCAAATTGTGGTGACAAAAGGAAATAAATGCACTGAGTTTGGTAGGGACTGAATCTCAAACAACTGGGTAATAAGACTTATTTAGTATCAGTAAGAACTTCCCAATATTGTTTGCAACATTTTACAGACAAATCAAAGCTCAGAGGTTGTATGTTGATAGTTAGATGTCTATCCTCACAGGCAAACACAGTCTCAGCCAAATAAAAAAAACAAAACATTTATTTACCAATCACATTTCCCAACAAAGGAGAAAAACCCAAAGAAGAGGACAAGTGAGATTCACGTAAATGACTGAGAGAAGGGAGACACCACAGATTAATTATACAACTTTACCTTGAAATTAGAAGGAAAAAAAGGTATTGTTTCTTTCCTGCTCCTAAAATTTAAATAGAATTTTTTAAAATGCTGGGGGAATTAAAGTTTGCTTCCATTTCATAATGCACACAAAACTTCCTCCTATAACATCTAAATCTGACAGATAAATAATGCATGTTATAGTTAGCTACTTAATTATTTATTTTGGATGTACTAAAGATGGTTTTAAAACAAATTCCAGATGTGAAAAAAGCTAGGAAATACAGCATAACCAAAATTAAAAATCATTTTTCTCCCCAACATAATTCTTTCATGGAACATCATAAAAATCTCCCCCAATTCTCAAAATTAGAAAGAGACATTTTGATTATAAAAATATATAATTCTTTTTTTTACAATTATATGTGTTTTATAGCCTATTACAAATCAAATGCTTTAATACTTCCCTCAATCCTTTAGATAAGAAACTAAGAAATGCTGTTTTGATTTAGCTCGATTTGGTTTGATTTTTAAAACCAATTGCAATGCATGATTCTGGACTAAATCCTGGAATAGGAAAAAAAATGTTATAAGGAAATGATTAGGACAATTGGAAAATGTAAAAAAGGTCTGTAAATTAAATAATAGAATTGTATCAATTTATATGTCTTGATTTTGATCATTGTAGCAAGTTCATATAAATGAATATCCATGTTCTTAGGAAAGACAATTGAAATATTTGGGGTCTGTACCTCAGGGGAATGATGTTTGTACCTTAATCACCAATGCTTCAGGAAAAAATACACACACAGACATCATACACACCCCCGACTAGAGAGAGACAATAATAAAACAAAAGTAGCAAAACACTAACAATTGGGGAATTTGTGTGAAGGGTTGATGGGTGTTCATTGTATTATTCTTGCAACTTTTTTGAAACGTGGTAAGTATTAAAATGTGCATTAAAAAATAATTAACCAACTGGGGTTGTCCATAGGTGTGAGAAGTGCTGTCTACACATGTAGTGGGCCGAAGCAGAGGCCCTGTTCGTATTTAACCTTGCACTCCACTCCACTGTCTGCTCCTGAGGCTGGGCTCAAGGCCCTGCCCTGCGTGTGGGAATGGCGGTATTGAATTACCAGGACAGCGCTGCAATTCCGTCCTTTTCCCTTTCATCTTCCTTGCAGGACTCCAAGTGAGAACAGGGAGGGTGAGCTAATGATTCGCCGCGTATCTCTGATGAGTACTATATTATTTGCATCATAATATTTTCATTTCTTCCCCCTGCACATAATGCCACGTTGACAGCAAGGTCAGTTAAGTTACTATAAGGGATTTTTAATGAAAACAATTATAAATTTAAAATAACTGTGTTTAAAGCATTTAACAGTCACTAGGGTCAAGTGATTACAGCAGTTACAAGCCCCATGGGACATGTTCACACCAAAACAAAGTGAATAAATTACCCCGGCTGGCGCATGTAATCACTAAGTGACCACAGGGGTCAGGCAGAGTAGAACCCTGAAGACTTTCACGCAAAACCAATAATGAAAATTTATCAGTCAAAGGTGGGGGTGGGGGGAACGTCAAGAATTAGTGAGTCGAGTCATAGACTGGAAGCAGAACTCATTCTCCATGCAGCTTGAAGGGCCAGGAAAATGGCATTCAAAAACCCAGGGGACAGCTGGAATCAAGATTCCTGGAAACAATCCGCAGACAGGCTGCAGGGAGGTGGGGGAATTAAAATGGAAGTGATCTATGCACTACCAGCAAGTTCAAAGCCAAATCAAAGGGCCACTTTGGTATAAGCATGACTGTCCTTATCCAGAAACCTGTGGCAGGGTCTGGAAAAGCATCCAGGGGTCTCCCATGTAGGATAGGATGCTAACAACAAAATGATAATCTCTAACATTTATATGCCATCCGACAGCTTCCGACAATGTTCCTGAAATTTCATCCTCCCCACCCTGTGACGATTTCCCCTCGTTGTAGAGAAGAGGTGGCTGATGCTCAGGGAAGCAACACATCTTGTTTAGGAGAGCACAACCAGGAGGTGAGGAAAACCTAATATTTATCGAAGAGTTGCTATTCACTAGAGACTCTGCTGGGCACACGCTCTCCGGGGACTCAGAACCAAAAGAGGAGACCAGAAGCCCTAAATGTCATGTGTGCTGATGATCTGAGCACAGCACAGAGGGAGGAAGAAATGCTGGCCCACCAGGAAGCCCAGGGCCAGTTTCATAAGAGAGGCAACCTCTGAAATTGGGCCTTAAAGAATGAGCACAAGTTTGCAGAAGACATGGAACAAGACTGGCAAGCAGGCAGTGGGACTGAGATGAACAAATATTCATTATTCAGCAGGGATGGGAAATGGCTTTACATACAGGCAGAAGACAAAGCCCTTGGTCCCAGGCCCTTCACTAACAAACCTGTGCAAAATTGGGGCAAGATGTTTACATTAAGTTGTACAATAATTGCCTCATTTATAAAATGAGGGAAATAAAACTGACAATCAGAGGCTGGACGCTGCATGCAGGGATACTGCTCTCTCGTTCCCCTCTGGTTTCTCAGTGTGCACCACAAAGCAGGACCTGGCCCTTAGAATATATGGCACTTAGAATATATGCAAATAACCTTCTGAGGACGAAGTCCCTTCTGGGATACAAGCATCCTGCTCTATGATTTAGGATGACATAGTTTGGGGGCTTCAGTTTTCCTTCTTAGACCAGATGGTTTGGAAAAGTTGAGGACTTTTTTGTTTTCAAAGAGCTGCTTTTTAAATGTAATTTCTTTTTAATAGTAATACAATATTCATACACTAAAATGCAAAAAAAAAAGCCACCCTTTTAAGGAAAGTGTTTACTTGGCTTTTTTGCTAGGCCAATGAAGTAATGATTATATATGTCTTGCACATGTCTATTTCTCTTTAGGAGATGGGAGGATTTCAGAAAAGGAGAAAGTACGAAGCTCTAGAATTAAAGACTGGAACAGTGGAGTCAAGTCAGTGATTTTAGTTCTCTGGTTGGCTCCAATGTGACCCAGTCTGTCCTCCCACCTTCGTGGGTCTCCATCCATCCATCAGTAAGACAGGGACAATACTGTCTGCTCATATCAACGTCCCTGAACAATATAAGCATTAATGATCTAATATACCCAAAGGTACTTTGAGTCCTTTGGAGGAAAGGTGTCATATAAATTAAAGGCATTATAATTAATGTAATTTAAGAAAATGGCTGCCCATAACACAGAGGATTAGGTTCACATGGATCACGAAAGACCTAGCCATCATGTCCTCAGGTCGCTAATGATCCTTTCTAATGGAATAAAATCCAATCTTACTTATTTGAGCATATTCAACTACGCTGTGTTTGGGTTCATTTTTTCCCCGAGTCCTTTACTTAATTCTGTACCAAAATTGAACTACACTTTAAAGTTAATTTTATCCTTATTGGGAAAATGTACTTTTATATGAATTACACCATGAATTAATTTACTTAGAAAAAAGAATTCTTCTATGTAAAGAACAAGGAGATAATAAGTGTGAATCAACTGTTACTTGTGTTAAGCAAATACTCCTATCCTATGCTATTACAGACAAGAAAACAGGATGTGTTGCAACCACAAGATAGAATATATAGGCAACTCATAGACACCTAATGAAATCCTAGAATGACACACTGAAAACAAGAGGAAGAAGAGGAGGAGGAAGAAGGGGAAGAGAAGGAGAGGCAGCTGCCACGGCCACCTAAGTGAATTGCTTGAAATAGAAAGAGAAGCTATTCAATAAATGATAACTCTAGGACAGAAACTGGGAAAACCAAATTATGACTCAAAAACTGAAAAGTACAGCATGTCAGATATTGCTTTTGTGGGCAAGCTAAAGATTAAGCAGCTACCTGCGTTTTAAAGCATCGAGGATCTGGGCTTGAGGAAACTCTATGGCACATCCTGCTCTGTAAATCATGGAAAAGTCATCTTAGCTGCCCTTCTTAAAGCCTCCTACCTTTGCCTCCTTATCAGACAGGACTACTAAGTGGTCATAAACTCCCGTGACTATATAAACATTCCAGTGAGGCTGGCCCTGTTCAAATCCTTTCCAAAGCTCCTCTTTGGGAAGCACTGGGCACTTCACTAGAGACCAGTTGCCTTGTGTCACAGCTCCATTTTTTATTCAAAATGGCATCTCCTACCTTTCCCAGCTCCCCAGCTCCAGTTCCTAATAATTTCTGCTTGTTTCAAAAGCTCACAGGCCTTACATGTGTAAGCCATGCCTGGAAATTATTATGTGAAAGAGTTTAAAAACTAAATTGAAAGCTGTCCTTGATAACCTGGCTAAAGGTCGTGCTGGAGTTTGTAAGACAGGAGTTGGGTGGGCACCGAAGGTTTCTGGAAGGTGACACTCACTGCAGGGGAGAGTGAGCGGGTGAGAACCAACAGGGGGAACAAGAGGGAGTCAGGGAGTCGGCAGGAACTTGAGAAGAGGCACAGGGAAGGCAGAGGCCGGACCCCTGCATGTGTGTGGGTCAGAGGTTAATTAGAGTCTAAGAGAAGAAAAGTCTATGTAGGTTTGGTGTGGGGTACTTGGAAAGGGACCAGCGTCAGATTTCTGGGGTCCAGGCAGGGCCACAGTGCTCACCCTTTGCTCCACAGAAAGAGTGGGCCACGGGCATGCAGGTCACTATGGCCACAGACTGTAAGGCCACTTTCCCTCCTGACTACCCTCCAACTTCCGCCCTCCCAGGGAGTAAGAGAAATGCACCAACAGAGCAGGGAAGAGGAGTCACAGAGGGCTTGGAAGATGTAACGGTAGCAAATAACATTTACTGCCCCTTCACTACCTGTACGCACTGGGTAGCCTTTCTCTTATTTAACCTCACGGCAATCCCTGGAGGATACATATACCGAGCATTAACAATTCTCTAGGCCAGGCACAGTGGCTCACGCCTGTAATCCTAGCACTCTGGGAGGCTGAGACAGGAGGATCACTTGAGGTCAGGAGTTCAAGACCAGCCTGAGCAAGAATGAAACCCCCGTCTCTACTAAAAATAGAAAAATTAGCCAGGTATGGTGGCATATGCCTGTAGTCCCAGATACTCGGGAGGCTGAGGCAGGAGGATTGTTGCCCAGGAGTTTGAGGTTGCTGTGAGTTTAGGCTGACACCATGGCACTCTAGCCGGGGTGACAGAGCAAGGCTCTGTCTCAAAAGAAAAAAAAAAAAAAAAATAGGAGGCACAAGTGCAGGAGTAGGGCGGTGAGATTAGGGAAGTTTGAGATTCAATAAAGTGTGCATTATTAAAAAAATTCTCCTTTCACAAATGAATAAATTGAAGATCACAGAATTAACAATTTTGAAACCAGGATTGAAACACAGGCAAAGTAAATCCAATACTCACGTTCTCAACCTGATACCATACCGCCTGATACCACCTCCACACACACGTGCACACACACCACCACAGGAACACGCCAGCTGTCAATAGCAGTTATGTGTGAACTGCAGGATATACTGGCAAACTTAATTTTTTTCTGCATCATTTACATTTTTTTTACAATGAGCATGTAAGATTTCATAATTAGAAAAAAATAGTTGATAGTCATTTTTTAGAAGCCCTTAAAGGGCAAATATTTGCTGCCACTGAAGATACTTGAAAATACGTGACAAAACTCTCAAATACTACTCAGAAGTATACAGGGAAATTTGGCAATACAGAATAAAAATTTTAAAAATACATATCGTTTGAAGCAACAATTCTAGGAATATATCCTATGAATATAATAAGGATGTTCGCAAAGAGAGAGCAAGAAGGATGTTCATCACTCCAGTGCATATAAAAATAAAAGAATGAAAATACTTTAGGTATCTAGTAATAGAGATCTGGCTAAATAAATCAGAGAGTATCCACACAACAGAATGCTATGCTGACACACAGCATGATATGTTAATTTTTTTTAAGTTACAAGAAAATATGCATAGTTTTATTAATCGTAAAAAAAAATGGTCATAAAAAAGCCCTCAAAGGGTAAATAGTTTCTGCTCTTGAGGATATTAAAAATAGAAATAAAAAGCAGAAAAATTTCTGAAATGCTATAAATCAAATGGTAATTACTCCAGAGATAGGATTACAGAGGAATGTATATTTTCTACTTTGCACATGTCAAATATTTGAATTTCTATAATGTATATGTATCTTATAATAAAAGTATTCTTGGAAAAAAGCATTTTAGTCATATTTATTGATGTGAAAATTTTTTCACGATATATTGAGATGAAAAAAATTACAAAACTATACTACTATGAGATCTCTATTTTGGTAAAAAATACTTGTGTGTGTGTCTATAAATAGACAACATTCTACAGGAATTCACACTAAAATGTTAACAGTGGTTATCTCTGTTCATGGGTAGTTTTGTTTTCTTCTTTTTACTTATCTCTTGCCACTAAGTTATCAGGAATTAACTGGTATAACACGAATTATAAGAATTAAATAAATAGCTCAGGGTATGACGGCTTTTCCCAAAGACCAGCTCCAAAACTTTGGTCCAATAGCAAGATCGCTGGAAAAGGAAGACAGTCTTCTGCAAGGGGCAGAAACTGATTTGCGTGTCCACAATCTGGAATGTTTGTTACAGTCACACTCTGTTATGACCATGCCTGACACAATGCTCCTACAAATATGAATAACCCTCTCCTTGAGATTTTCCTTAGAAGCGTTTTCGATCTCCTTTTTAGGCCTGGAGAGACTGAAGCTCAGAGCTATTAAATGACAATCCAAACCAAAGAAAAGCCATAATTAAAAGTTCATGGCATTGGTACTGTGCTAAAAGGGATTTTTGACTGACTAGATTGTTATATATAAACTTGTGGCTGAAATAGACCACCCAGGAACCTTGACTTTCTAATTATAATGTGGGAAACTAAACATCAACAGCAAACCCATCTTAAGTATTTCTGCACAGTACATAGGAATCACTAGCAACTACCAAAGGGATGTTGTAAGTTCTTTGAGGATAAAAGGAAAAGGGAAGGAAATGGAGGGGAGGGGAGGGGAGGGGAGGGGACGGGAGGGGACGGGAGGGGAGGGGAGGGGAGATAAGTAAACAATGACCTAGCAACCATGGGAAGGGCTACACAGACATGTGACCAACATGTTAAGGGAAGCAACTAGTTATGGAAGAGAATGTGTCATAAAGGACCAGTGAGTTCTCCTGGAGGAGAAGGTCATTCCAGGAAGTGGGAACAGGGCTTGCAAAGGGAAAGAGGTGTGAAGGGGCATGGAGCATTTAAAGAATAGGAAAAAACTGAGTGTGGGTGTAACTGGAAATGGGAAATAAGAAGGTGGATGTGCAATCAAATGATGAGACCATCTAATGCCCATCCGTGCAGCGTCCGTGGGCACGTACACCACACACCAGGAGAAGGCTACCAAAAAAACACTCTGCAGACGAAAGCACTGCAGGGACTCAACAGAGTGAATAGTAAGTAAGATCAAAAAGGCATGGGTGGGAAGAACATTAAGGCCAAAGTGGAGGAAGGCTGCACACAGGAAAATGCCTAGCAAAATTAGGGAAAGTGGTATTAGAAGCCACCGATGTTCAGAATTTACAAAACAAAAAAAAAACACAATAAAAATAATCACATTTTAACTGATAGATACTTTACACAGTTCACAAGTTTATTTTTAAGCCAAGTCTGTGACTGCCAAAATAAAAAAGAAACTATCACGACAGTTAGACGGCAGGGTCCCAGGCCAGCTTGCTGAAGCCGATTCGTTATTTGACTACAATATTAATGGGACTGTGGGAGTTGACTACCACTTTAACAAGTATGTCCCTGAGAAGGGTTCATCTGTGCTTCTTTCCCACAACTCTGGCAATAAGTCCTTGGCAATTAGAAGTCCCCTGTCACTCTGAGCCTGGACTAGATCCCTTGAAGACAGCGCCCTGGGCCGTAGTTGAGTGGAGAGGGGCGCTGGTTGTTTGGGAGGATGGAGGAATGGGATGTCTGATCAGCCAGATTGGTGAGAGATGGGACACAGGGGTTCTGGTGGCTCCTTCAAGGTGCCAGTTATAGGGATTTAAAGTTTCATTCCCCAACCCAGGAGAGATTTGGGGGGAAAGGAGCCACTGGGGCAGTAGCTGCAGCTGTTAGAATATCCTGATCATTTGCAGTTCAAGTGTTCATAGGTAAGAAAGACTCACCTAGGAAGACAAGATTTCCAGGTTCGTATCAGCAGCTACTCATTTCAAGGACCGGTGCAATGAAATACTAATGTTACAAGGCATTCTAGACTATTCCTAGGAACGTATGTGACTGGCTGCATCTATAATGTGTTTTTGTTTGTTTTTGTTTTGTCTCTCTCTCTCTGTCTCTCTCTCTCTGTCTCTCTCTTTCTCTCTGTCATCTGTTTTCCAGGCTGGAGTGCAGTGGCACAATCATAGCTCATTGCAGCCTCCAATTCCTGAGCTCAGATGATCCCCCTGCTTTAGCCTCCTGAATAGCTAGGACTACAGACGTTCACCCCCACGCCCAACTTATTTAAAAAAAATTTTGTAGAGACAACCGTCTCATTATGTTGCCCAGGCTGGTCTCAATCTTGGTCTCAATCTCAAGCCATCCTCCCACCTCCGACTCCCAGAGTGCTGGGAACACAGGTGTGAGCCACTGTGCACAGCCTTTTGGGTTCTTTGTGGGTATTTACATAGTTATAACTGCTGCTATTGGAACTGTCCACACCAAATGGCGAGAATGCTTCCCCACCCCCCATTGCACTCCATCGGCCAACACATATGTAGAGGCTGTGTCACAAAACAGCTTTTGCAGGAAGTAAACCCGCCTAGCCCCTGAGCATATGTATGTATGAATGTGTGTATTAAGGAGAGGCAGTTATTCGGTGAGCCATGGTTTGACCCAGGATCTGGTCCCTCCAGCAGGGATCCCAAGTCCCAAGCTGCGTTTAGAGCATGCTAAGAAAACACGCTTGGGACTTGAAGTCTGATGAACTTAAGTTCCAATCCTAAGGTTACATCCTAATTGTGTGATCCTAAGTATGTCAAGTTCACTGAAGTGCTCATTTTCCTTGAGTAAAAAAGAAGCTAATAATACCTTTTCCACAAATTATTGTGAGCATTGTATGAAATGATACCTGTAGTTAGGGGGGGGACAGCATCTAGACCCTCCCTCCCACAGACAATCCACGTGAACACATGTTAGCTCACCCACCCCATCGTGCCCCTTCCAAGTTCTAGTCCCAATATTGCCATTAATTATCTGGGAACCATGGGCAATTCATTCAATCTCTCCTCCAGCCTCAGTTTCCACTTCTATCAAATTAGGAGATGGGACTCCATGGCCTCCAAGGAGTCTCCCAGCCCTGATATTGTGTCTAGTTCGTGTCCTTGTTAACAGGGATGCTTGCTAATTCAGGGTTCTTTCTGCTGAATCCCTCTTTAAATGCCCAGGGCCAGTCTGTTTAGTTTCTGCCTTCTGGACTCCATGCCACTGGCTCTGTGTCTCCCACTACAGTATCTGTTGAAAGTGGTCTGTAGGCCAGGGGTTGTTCTATGAATGATGTGAGCTTTATCACAGAGTATATCCTCACAACAACCATGGAGTATGTTATGATGCCTATTTTATAAATGAGTAAATCAAGTTTCAGTAGTTTAAGAAACTTACCAAAGGTAGCAAATTCAAAGCTGGGTCTTCCCAGCTGCTCACAGTCATAACATGCTATACTACCTTTCCACTCTTTGAAGGTCCCTGGTTTGAGTTCTATCTTCTTATGACCCTGCGCTGTGCTAGCTTATCTCATAAATTACTTTGTATTAGTAACTTTACATGTTGCACCCGCCAGGTGACATATGTACATATTGGCCAGCCCCCATTATCTCTGAACCAACAGGGAACATATGATAGGATTCTCAGGCCTTGTAGCTGGTAGGTCAGGGTGAGATTCAAGATGGCCAGGGTTTAAACACATTTTTCAAATATGCACAATAGTAGCACATGGTCAAACAGCTACTCAACTTCCACACGCAGCTACCAGAAGCATTTCTTTCCATTCAAGCCTAAAATCTGCAAGCTTCCAGCTGCCCAAGCTCACTCATAATATAACAGAATAATAAAGGAAAAGGCTTGTGCTTTGGAGTCAGACAGCTCCTGGTTTACGAGCTGAGTATCACTTAGTCCTCTAAGCTTCTTATCTGCTAACTGATGGTGGGTAAGTTAACCCAGCTGAGCTTCAGGCTCCTCATCTGTAAAATGGGGATAACGACAACAACTTCAGAGGGATGTTACAGGTATAGAAGGAATGTCTGGGCTGTAGCAGAAACAGATTAGCCCAGTAGGAGAATAAAGGGGGATGGGGGACAGTCAGGTGGTTTTCAATAATCAGGCTTGTCTAGACTAGAGTAGGAAGATGGAAATCAACTAGAGATGCACTGGATTCTAAGTGCCTGCCCAATCTGTGAGACCCATGCCCCAGGGAGAGCTGGATGACCTCTTACGGCAAAAGCCCTAGACTGATCTGACCCCTGACTCCTCTCCGCCAGGCTACCTGGCGGCTGTTGCTGAAAGCACCCTTTTCAGGTGAGTGGTTTCTGATTGAGCCAGTGGTAGAGTGTAATCACACACCATCTCTCACCCTCTGAGCGCCATGAGGTTGCCCGGGTAACAGTGAGCTATTCTGGGCCTTCTCAATGGGATCCCAACTGCTCTCCCCATATCCCATGGGCTCCCTTCAGCCCCACATTCTGCATCCCATGCTGAGACTTCTTCCTCCTGCCTCACCAGATCAGAGGGGAAATGAGAAAAGAGGGAACTGACCATGCAGCTGGGCCTTAGCATTTTATTTCTTGATCATTTTATTTCCTTAGTTACGGCACATTTCCATTTACGGAGTACTTTCCCTTATAAAATCTCCAAGTGTTTACTTCTAATCTACTAAATAATTCCTCTGACCTCTTCTTGTTTTTACCCTTTAAATATCTGTTGATGGTTCATTCACCACGTTCCCCATTCAGTTATTAATGGCCCACAGAAACTTACTAGCAGCAATCATTTACTGATTAATCTGCACACCAATCCAGAAAGACAGGTAACATTAATCCTTCATTCCGCAGAGGGAAGCCAAGGGGCAGGGAGAGGTTAACTCAGTTGCCCAAGGTCAGTGGCTAAACAAGATCATAACCAGGATCTAACCTGTCTTGTACTTCTATAAACTTCCCACAGTGTTGTTCCCTTTCTTATTTAAAAATCAACATTGTCAATGCAGCTCAATAATTTCTGTGTTGAGATTCCATCATCACAGGCTGGTTTAAAATTGTCAAAATTCAGCTCAAAATAATTTTAACTGCTAGATAAAAGTTGCTAAAATAAAGAGATAATCATACTCGAAAGAAAATGTTACAGAGGTAAAAAAAAAAAAAAAAAACAGATGAAAAGATCTTGATTTAGACCCAACGCTGCCACAATAACACTGAGAAAGTCACTTAACTTCACTACGTCTCTGTGTTCATCACTAAAAATGAGATTATGCTAAATGATATTTTAAAATCTTGCTGTTTTAAATAAGATGATTGAATACCTACTAAAACAGCACAAAATATAAAAGCTCCAACATCCAATGCTGCCAAGATCATGGTAAAATGGGTACCTATACATCCATTCACTGCTAATGAAGCACACAGGTACAATGCCTTTGGAAAGCAAGATGCCAACATGCAGCGAGAACCATAAAGAATTCTATATCCTTTGACTTAGTAATTTAACTCAAATACAGTATTTCACTCTAAGAAATAAGTCAATGGAAGCAAAAAGACATATACACACAAAAATGCACATTTCAGTGCTAGCTACCAGAGGAAAAACTGACATCAATTTAAATGTGCATTTTTAGAGGCCTGTCTTATTAAAGAAAGACACAGCCAACACTGAAAATTATGCAAAAAGATTTGAAGTCTTACCAAAAAACACTACTAAATGAAAATAGCCAAAAGTCAAAGAGCAGATATGTACTCTGATGTCAACTATATAAAATGTGGATAGATGAGCAAGGTCATATGGAAAATCAAAACAGTTATGTTATTAGTTAGGCTTATTGCTATTTAAGAAATATTTTAACCGTTTTTAATGCATATTCTTTTGCCATTAACATATACATTTTATCATTTAATCAAAAATTTAAAAATGTCTCAAGCCCTGCATTAGTTTGATGGCAAACAAAATTTTTAAGTTTCTCCCTAAGTCTCCTGAGTAATTTTTGTTGGCTGGCACATTATTCACGGCATCATTCTTACAGAGTGATTTCTGCTCTTTACTACACAAATCTTTAGAGATTCTAAAATCTCAGAACACTTGCACTTCTTTCCCTCCCCTAAGAGGATTCTTAAAAAGATCTGTTTTCTAATCTAAATATGAATAACCCCATGACTGTCTTGTAATGCTAGCATATGGCAACCGTCTGACCCAGGAGCTAACATTTTGCAGTAACCCCAACCTGCAGTGCCTCTAGAGCAACCACAAAGTTGCTATTGTCCTTTTCACAATGCACAGGGCAGTTTCATATCCCAAGTTTTTGGAGCTTTACAGCAGGGACACCTTATCTTTTCAGGGGTCTTAGGATACCTTCCAGTTCACTTAGGAAAACTGCTCCAAGCAGCAATGTGCTGTAGGAACTTTGCTTCCTATAAGGATTTTTGTATCTTCCTCATTTCTTAGAAATGTTCTCTTACTAGTAGGTCATTTGTACATCTTTGCTCATAATATCTGGGAAAGATTACAGAGCCAATGAATTAAAAATACGATTCTTGGTCTCCTGTGTGCCAATGAATGCCCTCATTAAAGCAGAATGAGTGAGATGAGATCGGTTTCAAAGCTTTCCATCCCTTTGCCCCAGAGCCACCAAGGCCAGGCACTGAAAGGATGCACAGTAAAATTAAATATCTAAAAATTCATCTTTAATTAACAGAATTGGATTAAAGCTAGACACCACCGCATATCATACGAGAAATGGCTGAGCTGGCTTCCAAGTGCTCTAATTCAATTAGGACGCAGTGAGTGACACTCGGACGGGAAAGGTTAATTGGGGCCGCCAGAACGCAATCATTCCTTACCTAACCAGTCATTAAACTTCTTAACCTCTGAGGGCAGTCCCAGCTCGGTGAAATCGCCTGTGTGGAGAAGGATGTCCCCATAAGGCATCTGGATACCATCTGTTCTGGAGTGCGTGTCTGAGATGCAGACAAACCGCGTGTGGCCCGCTGGTTTTGGAGTGTCATATGGGATGGGGTCGACCCTAAAGTAGACATAACAGATCCCATAACAGTTAAACATATTAGAACCCTCGCAATTGTCATCGCACATACATATCGATTGTTATCCGTGAACTCACCCAGACAAACTGACTCATAGGCTGAAGGGCCCATTGTAACAAAGGACATTTTTGGGTGGAAAAAGGTACCCCTTCACCCCTCTACAACCCCACTGGGCAAATTCAAACAGACTTACTTACCTGGTAGGGAAATTAAAAGAAAAGAATATCTTACACGTAGAGTTGAAATAACCCAAGAAACTGATAGAGTGATTAATGGTGAAGTTTAGGAATATTGAACCCCAACTGGGGAAGTAAAATTAAGCTATTTCTCTCTCATCATGCTCCAATTGATCCCACTACTCATTAGGAAATGGATAACTAATTTATTCCTTCTTAAACATGCATAACTTAAGCAATGAACTAATTTACAGAGAGCAGTCTGCACATGCTCTGCCAACTGAGATGTGGAGAGACAGCACTTATATTTAATTTCCTTCCCACCTCCATTCAACACCTGTATCTTCTTGTTTTTGCTAAGAGATTCACAAACCAAATTGTAGGGAGGGGAAAGTGATGCCAAAATGACAGGGTCTTAAAAAATATATGCATCAGATTTTAAAAGAACTTTGTCAAACTCCCGTTTTTTACCAGGATGAATTATCTGCAGTCCCAGTTACACCCTAGGTTACTAGGAATGCTCACATGCCTTGGGCAAAGATTCTATTCAGTACAAATAGGAAGCCTCTTTAATGGTCATGTATATATCTACATATGCATTAATATATGTACAGTTTTAGAGACCTAAGCACTGTGAAATTACACCAGGGCATAAGAATCAAAAGGCAAAATGATCGACCCGAAGCAAAGAAAATGAAACAGAACATTCTCATTTAATTGAGTGTAACAAAGTGTACTAAATAAACTTGGTAAAGAAATGCAAATCTGACTCCTCAAGCATACAGTTTTAATTATTTAAGGGGTTGTGGCAGAGTTAAGGGTGCTTTATATTAACTCTACACTGACAACTTCCTTTAATTTCTCTGTAGGAATGTTCACTTATTTTTGGAATACGGGTGAAAAGGAGCAGTTAAAAATGCAAAGAGAAGGTCACAAGAGAAGCAAATATGCAATGCAGAGATCAGAGTGTGGAACCTTAAATAAGGAACAATATTTCATGTTACAATCCCACCCCCAATAGTTAACATGCAGTAGAGAACACACTGAAAGTTCAATGCAAGATTCCCTAAACATGTGGCTTTAATTTTTTTCTTTTTCTTTTCTTTTTAAAGAAACAATCTGTGGTGGTGTTTTTTTTTTTTCTTTTCTTGAATATTTGTTTTAACAATGACAATTTCAATTAAGGAAATAAAGACATCAGTGTACACCCTGATGAGTTCATATTTCTTCAGTGACTAACCTTTTCATTTTATTTTATCTGTGTCAGAAAAGAAGGCAAGTTAAGGAAGCAGGAAGGAGACCAAGAAGGGAGAAAAGCAGAAGGGAGGGAGGAAGGAAGGAAGAAAGGAACTGTGAACTGGTGATCACAGTGGGTCTAATCGGAAGCCCAAAAAGAAAGTTTAACTTCTGCAAAAAATTAATGGATTTTTCCTGTTAGAAAGGTTAGAAATTAATATGATGTTACCACACAGAAAATTCACTGAGATCTCATCAGTAACCTGGAAACCCTCTTGATCATATCCGATGTTGCCTTTTTATATATAAAAATGTTTGATGTCTCCCTTTCCATCGCTGAGATTCGATTACACTGAGTCTCAGCGGTTCCAATTTTATCAACATCTCCCGTCTTCTAAAAGTACGTAGTTTTCCCAGAGAATGAATAACCATTCCCTGCTGCAGATGACTGTGTCACTCTCAAAAATGATAGGCAATATTCCTATCCCAAAAGTTAAGATGCTCACTAGAATCGTACTATCTGCACTTATACTTAATCCACCAACATTTGAATGACAGTTTAATAAAGCAATCACTGGACCTCTAAATGCATGCTAAATATATGTATAAATTCAATATCTATCTATCTAGTATTTCTTTCTTTTCCAGCTTTCATCCTAATAGTAATGCACAAACAGAGCCCCATTTCTCTCTTTCTGTAACTCAGCTAAGCTACAGACACAGCTACTGCTTCAAAATCATTTGGGAGTCCATCCCAATTTATGAGAGGGGCATCATAGCCATAATTTTGAATTTATTAAACAGAAAGTAGCACAGATGCAAACCCCTTGCTGTAAATAGGCCCCCATTCTATGAGTCTACCCACTTCAGAGCAACCAGTCATCACATGATACATAATTTGTTTCCCGTCCTTGCTCCATATTGGGCAATAAACCTTCTGAGACTATGGGGAACTCCAGTCAATTTCTGAATCACTTCTACCTTCTTCCCCAGCCTCCTACCTCCTCCAGAGAAACATGTAAATGCTCAGCAGAATTAACAATTAAATACAGGCCAAGAAACAGTAATGTAGAGGGGACAGAAAGGAAAAATATTTCTTCTCAGCTTTGAGCTGAAATAGGATGATGGGTTCAAAGCAGACGGCCAAACAAGCAGAGCAGGCTCACCCACCGACACCACCAAAACGACATCATCCAAGAGAAACAATCAGTAGATATTTGAGAGATGTATGGCGGATTGATTCAAGGTAGGGGACTGGGGGAAGTAGAGAACATAAAGATTCAAAGGCAGAATTTGCAAAGATCCTCTGACCCAGAGGCATGGAGGTCGTTGGTTATCCTCAGGACAAAGTACAAAGCAAAGAGGTGTTTCAGAAGACAAGACAGTCCAGCATGCCAGAGCCACACTGCAGGACTGCAGGACCTGGGGGTGTATGGAGAAAAACATTTCCACCCACGGACGTTCAGAGTTGAAAATGAGACTCTATTGGAGTGGGCAAGTTGTAGTGGAGATAATTAAAGCTAAGATAACCCAAGGGAGACTGCCATACTCCCAAATTGGGCATCTGATAAACACCTTGAAAGAAAAAGTCAAGACAGCCAAATGTTTTCACCATGGCAGCACGTCCAGGGAGATCCCGTTACTGGAAGATCTACCTGTTCGCTTTGTGTGAAGACACTCACACTACATTTTCCTCCTTAGTTTACAACTTTACGGCTTACTGTTTATGCCGCTGACTTCTCAAATGACCTAACATTTCCCCCAAGGCACCATGTCAAATATCCTAGCAAGTGAGTATCTTACCAAGGCATTCTAAACCCCAGGGCCAGATTCAAATATCAGAGTGAGATTTGCACATACATTTGAGTACACCCCAGGGAAAACAAGACGACATGGGAAGATGAGAAGAAAACACAGCATCGTAAAATCCCAGAGCAGGGCAAAACCTTACAGGGCATCTGGTTCAACGCTTTATGTGACGCTTGAATCCCTTCCACCCCTAACCTGCCTCGCTGACATAAATTTTCATTCCAAGGTTTTCAGAGAAGGGGAGCTCCTAACCCCCTCCCAGCCTCCTGGACAACCCATTCTGGCTTTTGATAGCTCTACTTGTTAGAAAGTTTCTGTTCCAGATTCTGCACCTCTGAGAAAGCTGAGCGTAGTCCAAAGACTTTGGCCTGGAGCCTGAAGACTGAGTAACAATTTTGGCTCAGTCATTTGCTTTGGGCAACTTCTTTAATTCCTCTGAGCTTCATTTTTCCTCATCTGTAAAATGGAAATAATAATGCCTAATTTGCTATGTTGCTATGAGGATATAAAGTGTCAAGTACTCTGAAAACAGAGGAGGAATAACATAAAGGCGAAGAGTTGTTTGGCTATGGAGTCAGACTGACTTGCTCTGAATCCCACTCCACACTTATCAACATGTGACACTAAGCAAGTGGCTTAACCTTTGTGCCTTGGTTCCCTCATCAGCAAAATGGGTATAAAAATAGTACCTATCTCCTAAGGTGGTTGTGAGAATACAAAAGGATAATGTACTCAAAGCATTTAGAATGGTGTCAGACACACTATAGACACTCAATAAATGTTAGTGCTTCTTTTTACTAGTAGTAATAGTATTTTTACTACCCTTAGTGGTACTTTCTCCAACCCCCTTCTCTCCTTCTGCTAAAAGGAGATAACAGCTACCACTCAAGGACTTTGAAAGAATTAAAAGAGATCACATATACCATACCTAGCACAGTCCTGGGCACAGAATCTAATCTTTAAACACATCTGTTTAAAGATTCACTCCTTCTTAATCCTAGTTCTGCACTCTGAAATGAAAAAAGAATAAGAATCCAGTCCCTTTTCCGTCTGACAGTTCTTCAACTCGTTAGAAAAATCTATTTTAATACCCTGAAACCATCTATCTCCCCTCTAGTTGAGCAGCCAGTTTCTTCAACTTTTCCTTGTGTGATAGGATGTCTAATGCCCTCAGAATCTAGATGGTCTTCTCCCAGATACAATTCCACTGGCCAGAACCCCTCCACCTGTAGTGTCAGAATTCATGGTCCATGTGAATTCATAGACCAACGAGCTGTTCATCAAAGATATATACTTAGTCCAGCTCACCTCATGGAGAGGTGAGAGCGTTGAACAAACTGTTGAATTTTCATAGAGGAGGCCTGAGCTATCATCTAAAACCGTTTTCTAATTAACTCTCCAAGTTTTGTCCCAAACCTCAAACCTTGTTCTTGAAGCTTGATCCTCAAATGTTTGTATAACTCATTGCATATTCCAGCAAATAAATCATTCTCATATATTCAGTCTGGATACATTAGGAGTTTTTTAATCCATAAAAAATAATATGATAATATTATTGCTTCCACTATGGAGTCCTCTTCTGGCCATATCTGTTATTTCTTTCCAATAACAAATGCATACAGTGTTGCAAACCTGCATTGACAGATCTTAAGAAAAGCTGTTATCCTGGGTTTGCTGTGACATGGATTTCTTCTTTAGACCATGTGTGCAGTAAAATCCTTGTGTACACACTTAGCCTATAATTCAGTGTGAGAACAGAG